TTTTGCAGAACATTGTCAAATTTCACATGAAATTTGTATCATTTTGCACCCCTGACAGTAATAAATGTGAGGACTTCTGGAAATACTATCAATGTTGTGAAGTTTTGCATATGTTCATCCCCACCCGCAATGGAAGAGGGTCTTAATTTCTCCATACCCTTGCTAACATTTATTTCCTATTTTTGTTCTTATAAAACACTCACTTGACACCTATTGTTTCCTTAATAATTAGTGATGTTCAGCATCTTTTAATGCTCATTGATTATTTCTATATTTTCATCACAGAAATGTCTACTGAAATCTTTTGCCCATTTCTTAAGTTGAAGCATTATTTTTTGGTCACTGAGTTGTAGTAGTTCCGTATGTTCCAGGCATTAAATCTTTTTCAGATAGATTATTTGGAAATTTGTTCTTTTATCCTGAGACTTGTTTTCCACTCTCTTGATAATGTTCTTTGGTGCAGAGAGATTTTTATTTTGAAGAAGTCCAGTTTATTTAATTTTCTTTCATTGTTCATTCTTTTTGATTTATTTATTTTTATTTTTATGTGTATGAATGTTATGCCTGCATGTGTATAAGTGCACCTATATCGTGCAATGCCTATGGAGGACAGAAGAGAGTGTCGGATCCTCTGGAACTGGAGTTATAGATGGTTATTAGCCATCATGTGGGCGCTGGGATTCAAACCCGGGTCTTCTGCAAAAACAGCCAGTGCTCTTAACCTCTGAGCCATCTCCCGAGCCCCTGTTGTTCATTCTTTTGATGTTATACATATCCAAAGTCAAACATAAAGTCCTTAAGAATTACTTTTGTATTTTGTTCTAATAATTTATGGGGTAAGTTATCATATTTAACTTATGGATTCATTAAAATTTTTATAGAGTATGAGGTATGGATCATTCTTCTTCTCTGTGAAGAGACTATTTTTTCCCTCTTTGAATGAACTTGGTACCTTGGTGGTGTGGTGAAGGGACTGTGAAATAGTGTTCCTATGACTTTAAAAATATGTTTTGTAAATTAAGCTGTAACCTTGAGTATATATGCCTGGAGAGCCTTGTCTCATGAGAAAGTTCATGCAAGAATACTTGCTGAGGAGTTATCTCTGGAATGCCAGTAGTCTCCTAGTTTCTCAGGAGACTTTTGTCCTCCCAAGAAGGCATACTATGGTGATAATACTATCTTGCTCATGTTCTACTGAAGTACTATAGTTTAATAGAACTATATTCTAGTCTATTATTCTTCACTGTTCTACAAATATTCAGTTGTAGCTCTAATGAGTATGAGTATACAAGCAGAGCTGTCTGTGCTTTTGGCACTCATTGTGTGGATGAAGAAATAAGAGTAAAGAAATAAAACCACATGAGTCCCTTGTTTTTTTTTTACAGTTCTGTGATAACCCATTTAGGTCCTGTGGCTGAACCCCTGGCAGCCACATCTGGGTCTGTCTTCATGCTAGTACCACACTTTTAAAAAATAGTTTCTTAGCCAGGTGTGGTGGTGCAACGCCTTTAATCCCAGCACTTGGGAGGTGGAGGCACGTGGATCTTTGTGAGTTTGAAGCCAGCCTTGTCTACATAGTGGGTTCCAGGACAGCTGGGGCTACAGGGAGACCCTGTCTCAAAAAGACAAAAAAAGTTTATTATTTTTATTTTTGAGTATGAGTATATTGTCTGCATGTATGTAAGTGCATCTGTGTTATGTAGTGCCTACAGAGGTCAGTTTCAGGGAATACATTGTTTCTACAATACTGGGAAACTTACAAGTAGCCAGGTAGCATGTCCAGATAGCAAGTCCTTCCTCCCAACTATACCTGCATCTCCATGGAGACCACTGTTTCTACAATTCTGAGGAATTTTTTTTTTCCTTGTTGAAACTCTTCATTAACTGAAGACCTCTTTGTTAACTGACCTGCCCCTGGTCTTGTGTAGCTATGGTGATCTGATGTAACTATGGTTATTGGCTTTGCTCCTAGCATGATGTAATTGTGGTTTTAAGCTTTATAAACACTGCTCTGCTTCTCCTTGGGGTCAAGAGTTCTTTTGGGCATTAACCCCCATCTCTGATTGCTTGCTATCAATAAAGGACTCCTAATTTGACCATCACTATGTGGTGTTCCTCTTATGTCTCACTCAGTATTACAGTTACCATGGAACACACTGGTCAAAGAGAGTCCCAAACACTGAATGATTCTATTAAAATGCACTTCATTGCAATTCACAAAGCATTTTATTTTCATATAAATAATAGGCATGGATGAAAGGGAAAAAAACTTTTAGCCATCAGTATTCACTTGAACATTGGAGAAGGGATGTGGAATTCATCTTCAAAGTGGTAGGGGACATAGGGATAAGCACACAAGATTGAAAGCATAAAAGCATATTCTCATGAGGACCAGGCAATCCTTGTTGTTGGAGGACCAAATGGAATCATCATTAATGTAAGTAGAGTCGAAGTTCACAATCCGTAAGTCCTTCTTAAGATATGCATGATTCAGCTTATTCACAGTTCGAGCAAAGGAGTACTTAGAAGCACAGCTATATGCCTCCAAACTGTACACTTTCTTGAAGTGCAGATCAAAAAATGGATTGTCCTAGAAGAGAGACATGATTTATTTTTAGTTATGGAAGTCATTTCTTGGATTCTAGCATTCCCCTGGATATACCTATCTATTGTAAACTATCAGTATCAGACATGTGTCTGAGGTCTACAGATCAGCTTTTCAAAGCTGTGTGTTCCAAATAATATTTCTTCTAAAAAATAAACAATAAGAAAGACTATTTTGAAATCTGCATCTTCTCAATTGTATAAATAAAACTTGTAATGTGCACTATCACGTCTTTTCTAGTAAATCTGAGAGCATGGTTAGGGATGGAAGAAGAGAATAGACCCACTTATAGATTTCTGGAGGTCAGAATATACTTTTCCTTGCCTTTATTAAAAGGTTGGTCCTTTATGCTATTTCAAAAATAAATGGGGAAATTCAGGCTGGCTAATCAGCTTTTGACAGTACAGACCACCAACTTGATAACTTTGATGTCAAAAAGAAATAAGCCTTGACAGAATAGTAAGGACCATGAAGTCTTTTGATTGAAATGAACAAATAACCAAATACTGCCATAACTCTTGCTGCTTCTAGTCCAGACTTTCTCCATTAAGTGTTAAAATAATAATAATAATAATAATAATAATTCTTACTGTTATTAGTAGGAGTGGCAGTACCTTGCATATATAGTGTTCAAAAACATTTCTCCATTCATTGTCTGCTTCACTGCTAACTCTCTTTGAGGGCAGAGATTTTGCATTATTTGTTTCTGTGTTCATAATGTTTGCACATGGCAACTACTAAGTCTCAACAAATGTGTGCTGGGCTGATCTGAAGGGTATCAAGTAAAGGAGAAGTGGACGTAGACATGGCAATACATGACAAAGAAACAGAGACCAAACCACACAAGAGCACTAGTGAATACTGTTCTGGTTTGCTTTTCTATTGCTGTGATAACACTGGCCAAAATCAACTTTGAGAGGAAAGGGTTTATTTCATATTATACTTGCAAAGCACAATCCATCTCTGATGGAAGTCAGGCAGGAACTCAGGACAGGAACCTAGAAATAGGAACTGAAGCAGAGACAACGGAGGAATGCTGCTTACTGGCTTGTTCCCCAGCCTATGCTCAGCCTGCTTTCTTATACAACCCAGGACCACCTGCCCATGAATAGCACCACCCACAGTAGGCTGGGTCCTCCCACATCACTCAACGATCAAGAAAATGCCTCACAGACATGGCCACAGGCCAATCTGATAGAGGAAACTCCCAGTTGATGTTCTGTTCTCCCAAGTGTGTCTAGTTGACAGCTGAAGCTATTTAGCACAAACTTTTAGATTCCTGGTGATAACCATGGAAATTTCTCATTTGATCTGACTCTTACTTTAGACCTTCATTTTAGATAGGGGTTGCTGTGAAATTTTCATGAGATTAGTCATATAAGCTGCTAGTATACAGCTAAATAAATGATAGACCCCCTTTTCAGATTTATTTCATCTCTGACACTGGGGTTAATACTTCCTTGTTTTATACAAGTAATATTTTTAACAAGAAAAAAAAAAGATTTAGAATCGAGACAAATGACTCATTGGGTAAAGTGATTGCTGTGCAAGCATGAGTACCTGAGTTTGGATCCCAACACTGATGTAAGAAGCTAGGCATGACAGTTTATGTCTGCAATCCCAGGACTGCTTGCCTATGGTGATGAGGCAGAGATAGGTGGATGCCAAGGGCTTATTAGATAGGGATGGTAGGGACTAGATTGGATAGTCTAGCCAAAAATGGCAAGTCCCAGGTTCACTGAGACCCTGCTTCAAAACACATGCATGCACACATGCACGCACACACACGATGGGGGGCAATGGATAAAGACACCTGAAGTTTTTCTCTGGCCGCCACATGTGCATACACACTTGCACACAGGCATCTCCCACACCCCAGCTTTAAAAAAGTAATGTACAAGTTGGTCGTGATGGTATATGCCTGCTGCAATCCCAGTCCTTGGGAGGCTGACATGGGAGAAAAATCCATGAGTTTGAGGCCAGTGTGGGATACATAGTGAGTGCCAGGCCAGCCTGAGCTCCATAGTGAGATCCTGTTTCAGAAACAAGTAAAAATAAGTAATGTGCAAGGGTGACATGATTTCAAACCAGTGTCCCCTAGTCATGCTTCACAGATGTTTTTCTAGTTCTCATAATTGCAAGTTGAAGGCCAATTCTGTGAAGAATCTCAATGAATGGAAACCATGCTGATTACATCACCGGGTAGTAATCATGAGTGTAAGTAGTTTTTGCTCTCAACATTTGCTTCTCATCATGTGGAAAATATCCTTCACGTCTTTGAAATACTTAGAGAAGATTGGTGTTTTCCTTTAAAGGCTGAGTATTCATGTGCTTAGAATAAAGTACAATTTCTTCCCTCTTCCCCCTTTCCTATTTCCCTTCTTTCTCCCTCTCCCTCTTTTTCTCTCTGATAAAATTCTCAAGCTAAGAAAGGATCTCACAGATTATTTAGTAAGCTTTTGTTCATAATTAGGATAATAGTTTACAGAGAGGTGACATTCGGGGGACTTGTTTGGTTATTGCCAGAACCAGGACAAGCACTAAAGCCCCAACCAGTCCTACTTTTTTTTTTTTTTTGCTACATCATCTGATCTTCTGTTACACCAGCCAGTCTCCAAATCACCTAGATTTCTGCTTTATTAATTGAATTTAATTTCAATCTTTTCCATTTTAGAGTTGATAAGTAGATTGAAATTGGTCTATTTACAACCTCATCATTGCCATTGAGAAAAACATAACAAACATT